ATATAAAATTTCAAAAGTTTCACAAAATTTTGAAATTCTCTATAAATTTTGATAGTTTTTCCCTGTATCTCTGTAAGGTTATGTTGGGTATGCAAGTTTGAATTTTGAGGGATTGAGATTGCAATTGGAACTAAGATTGAAACTTTAAAAATATATATGGTACGGAGTAATATTTGAATGGAATACTTGTATTAATTTATTTTATAATCAATAAAAATTTCTCAAAATACTATAATGCCTCTTATCATTAATAAGAAAAATACACATTCGGAGCCTCCGAGTGATGAAGATGAATTGATTAGTTTTCAATGGTGGGTCGAATGAGATCTAGAACTCAAATCAGATTTTGGTAAAAAAAAAGAACTCGAGTCAAATCTAGAAGATAAGCCTCGAAGCGGAGACTTCAACCAAATCTAAAACTCAAACTCGTTAATGGTGGGATGTCGAACCCATCAATTTACAACTTGAACCCAGATTTGAAAGAAGATGAACTTAAACCCATCAATGGTGAAGTCAGACTTGAACTAGTGACTTACCGTAGACATTGATGGTGGGAGAGGAAGATGAACCCAGATCTAACAAACACAAGCTTGAACACATCAATGCCAAGCTTGAATAAGAACCACTGAACTAGTGACTCACTATGGACGTCAATGGTAGGAGGAAGATGTAGCTCTAGGTCATCAATGGATGAAGGATGGAGGAGGATAAAGATGCAAGAGCAAGGGACGAGATAGACATCGTTTTGGAGGGGAGGGGATGGGAGGGAAAGGGAAAGGGAAAGGGAAGGGAAGCGTAGGGAGAGAGGGAGGGGGAGAGAGAGAGAGAGAGGCGTCACTGGGGAAGGGAAAGGACACAAGAGAGAGAGAGATGGGTGAGAGCAATTTCATCCAAATTTTTTCAATCATAGATTTGATTTTGCAATACTAAGGGGTGGTACTGAACATGTAATGTGGGATTGGATTTGGATTTGGATTGCTTAATGATCCCTACCATACATAAAAAGTTATGTTTTTCTAGTCTTAGTCCTAGTCCCTAACTCATAGTCTTATGTACTAAATAGGCCTAAATCTACCTAAATTTTAAATGTAATCATGTAATTCAAAACATTCACCTGTCCAAACTTCAAAAGTAACCTTATTTTTCAATATCATTCTCAAATTCTTTTTCTAACAGTTTTGTGAATTTCAAAATGCCTCAAAACTTTCAAAATTCCTTAATGTAATCTAAAACTATTTTGAAATAGTATATTAGTTTCAAAATTCCTGTTACCTTGAATCCCAAAAGTTCCTCTAAATTTGGAAATTAATTTCTTTGTGCCAAATTTTTGCGTCCGCTTCGGGCCATCTCTTGGCCCTCCATTTCAACTTTATTTGATCCTTGCCATCCATTTAAATTAATTTTTAATATTATATTTATTAAAATAAAAAATATAAAAAATTTTAATATTAAATTTGGACTGTTTAGAGTACATTTAAATAGTTAATTTGTAAAATTTATAAATTTTTTAATATTAAATTAGGTTATTTAAATTATATCTGAACTGTACAAAGCTTATATGTATAGTTAAATTGTAAAATTATAAAATTTTTAATATTAAATTAGACTGCTTGATTAAATCTGTATTGACCAAATTGGTAATGAACAAATGTATTACAATTTTAAAATTTTTATATTTTTATATTAATAAATATAATAGTAAAAATATTTAAAAATTAATTTAAATGGACAGCAGTGATCAAATAAAGCTAAAATGGAGAGTCAAAATTGCTCTTGACTTGATGAGCATGCGGTGCTCTGAATGCAATTTTTAAATTTGTGCTCGCGCTCTTTCTCAAAAAATCTTAGGAATTTTTTTCCTTGATTAATCTTGAACCCAGCATTTGTTTATTCTCTGATTATATTCCTTTTTAATTTAGAAAGTCTTTATTTGCTCATTTAACTCATGATACCTTTAGGTTTATTTTAATCTTTTTTTTTTTCCAAAATCATGAGAGACTTATTTATTTCAAAAGTATTCCTTTGTTTAAAAAATGAGCCAATATTGTTTTACTTATGAATTTTAAAACTCTTCACTACTTTCAAAATTGTCTTAATGATAATAATGTTAAATGTGTATCTTACTTGTCATCCGTTTAAGCTTAAAACACTTAACATAGCCGGAGATATATCTTTCTTCCATTTTTTTTTTTTTTGGGTAACTTGAGGCCATTGGTATTGATTATCATTAAATAAAGCAACTCAACAAAGATCAAGACACAATAGGCAAATTAATGAGCCCAATAGATAATTCGTGCCAAACTACTATAAAAACTTATTCATAAAGACGGGAATAAATATTTAGAACAACCAAATTTAAATATTTAATACTTTTAACTACTCTCTGTTATCACTCATGTATTGTACTTCATTAATTACATATCCAGTCTTTTAAAAATAGTTGTTATATTTAATCAGTTGTGTGATGATACTATATTATACTTTGTTTTACATACTCAGAAGCAAAGACTTATGTTTGGAAAACTTAAGTAAATTATTTAATTACCTTTTAAGGGAAGTGAGTTAGACTTGAAGTCTAGTTTATATTGAGACTCCAAAAACCCAGATCAATCTTGTAACATATAGTCGAAAGTTTCAAGTGGTAAAACTTTAGAATTGGATGTATACTAGTGATTGGCCAAATCAGGATAAACCTCTGTGTTAATTCTCCTCACATTTACATTCTACAAATATTGTTGATATCATTTCTATCTCTTATCTTTATCTTATTTAATATTTGTCAAAAAATTTTTATAGCCAAATTCACTCCCTCTTTGACTGATTTACAATTTTAGGATTGTGTTTGATTAAATAAGCTTTTGGTATATGTTTAAGCATTTTATGATAAATTTGAATAAATCTGGTCCAAATTGTATCTGCCTTGCTTGAATAAATGGATCTAAATTCAATACACGTTCTCCTATTTTTAGCAAAGAAAATCTTTAAAAAAAATTTGATTTGATGTTAATCTTCTGGGGAGATCTTTAATTGTCGTCCCCCTTTTTACATTTGTAACTCAATTTCACACAAACTTTCAATACGTGTTGTAACGAACACACCGTGCGAAACATGGCATATTTGTTTTCGCGCTTCGACTCAGCCACCTCGTCATTTTCATTTTCGCGCGTGCTGCTCAGGAGACCCATCATCTTCTACTTAGGCAGCGGCATCATCTTCCAGTAAGGCGTGTTCTTTTCTCTACGCCCTTCTTCGACTCACAGCCAAAGGTAAGTTTCTCTTCTTCTTCTTCAATATTTTCGTGTTCGATTTTCTGCTGTTCGGCCATGATTTGTGGTCTGTCTTGTTGATTTCGTGAAATATTGGCCGTGGAACTACGATTTGAGCGGCAAATGATTTTTAAGCTTTCAGAATTTTGGAAAATATTTTTAGCATTGTTTTTCTGTTGTTTTAGCTTATTCAAACCTTGGATTTTGATTTCCTCATAATTGGAAAATGTTTCACTCAGACCTGGAACGACAAGGATATGGAAAATATTTCCAGCCTTGATTTTGAAGTGTAATATTCAATCTTGATTTCCTCAGCCCTGGCCATTCGTGTAATCTTCAAGTACCTTCTTAGATTTTGCTCTTCGATTTTGATTCCGAATGTTGGGTCTGATAGGAAGGAATATATGTACTCTATATCTTAATCTTGGAGTATATATTAGTAGTATATATTAGAAAGGAGTCTATATTAGTTTATAGTGATGTTAAATTCTGCTCTTGGATTTGGTGTAGTATATATTAATCTCTACTAGGAAGGAGTTCGATCCTTAAATAATAGTAGGCCAAATGCTAAATTATCTTTAGTATTCTTTCATCTCTTTACTTGATGCAACTCTATATCCCTGATCGCTAGAAACTTTGGTAGGGAATTCTGCATCATATAGATATTTGTCCATGATTCCCAATGCTCTAAATTACTTTTTGCTTATCCATTACAACTGTGTGTCAATGTATGGCTGTGTGGTTTTGGATTATAAAATCTCAAGACAACATTTTCTTTCTAGTTTTTCTCTTCTCTTTATTTTCTTTCCTTTCACACTTTTCTTCCCATCCAAATAAAGTGTAAGTTAGAGTGTATAATTCTCCATTGGTTTGGCTGTATAAATATATTCTGAGCTTCTTCTGGGAAAATGTACAAAAATATAGGTATTTTGGTCAATTTAATAAGGTTTTTTTCTTGCCTGAACCAGGTTTTCCTCAATATCCGGGATGAAACCTGTCTCCCCTCAGCAGAAGTCTCTCGGTCTTGATGTCCTTATTGTCAACCTCATCAACTTCCAGAAACTAGTATCCTTTCCTAGGCTTTCTTTTAGATTGACGGAACTAAACGTTGCCTTAGAACTAGTTCAGTAAGTTTTCTCCTCTTCCTTTGTAGCATCCTCATACAGAACCCACAACTTTATCATTTTCATCTTAGTGCTCACTGTGTAAATCTATTTGAGGTATAAATATACAAGGAAGATAAGATCTTCAAATATAGGGAAAAAGAGTGATTCCATTAGCTAATTAGATTCTATCACGATGGTGATTATGTTCTTTTATCAAACACATACGGTGGATTTGATAAATGGATTTTGGAGGGTAGTATGAGAACCCAATGACATAGAATAGATGCTTCCATCACCTTTAATGATCTGGTGGATGCCATGAAGGAAAAAATGCCGCCATGGCTACAACAATGCGAGCAAGGAAAGTTTTTTTTTTTTTTGGCTCTCTCTCTCACATTCTTCTTTAGCTCATCCCTTGAACAATTGATTAAACTGAATGCAGGGTCTTTTCATTTTGAAGGTCGTCTGTGTATTATTATTTGCTTGCTAGTTTCATTGAAGAAGAAGAAATGGTTATGCTGAAGTTCTTTATAATATGCAAAAATTCATAACTTTCAGCGGATTGTTGACAGCTTCTACTAGTGATATTTTATCATTGCCTGAAGTCCCATTGTAGCTCCCTCTGGGCATGCCTCAACAGGATTTCAAGGCATGGAATTCTGTAATCAGGGGCTTATGTATAGATACTAGGCATAAAGAAGCCTTGATGCTTCTCTTCCGGTGCTTACGGAGTTCTATAGTTTATAAACCAGATCATCTGGTATTTGCTGCCATTCTCAAGTCCTGCACTGCCCTTTTGGCTGGCAACTTAGGCAGAGCTTTACATAGTTTTGTTGTCAAACTGGGCCATGGTTCTTGCCAGGTCACTTCCAAAGCACTGCTTAACATGTATGCCAAATATGGTGCATTTGATGACTGTCAAAAGCTTTTTGATCAGCTGAGTCCTATGATCCTGTTATTTGGATATTGTTTTATCTGGGTTTTCTGGTTCCAAGAACCATGACAATGATGTGATTCGAACGTTTTGGAGTATGCACGCGAGAGGAGAGGCTAAGCCCAATTCTGTTACTAGTGCTACTATTCTTCCCACATGTGCTCGATCAAGGGATTGATGTATTTTGGGAGGAGGCGCTCATGCTTATGTAATCAAATCAGGATTTGAAATGACACCTTTGTGGAAATGCTCTAGTATCATTTTATGCAAAGTGTGGACTGGTGTCTCATGATTCATTTGCTGTTTTCAGTAACATTATTCACAAAGATGTTGTTTCATGGAATGCAATGATTGCAGGTCTTGCTGAGAACGAGTTTTTGGAAGATGCATTCACATTGTTCAGTTTGATGGTTAAAGGACCCTTGGAACCAAATTACTCAACCATTGCAAGTATTTTGCCTGTTTGTGCTTTATTGATAGAAAATTTGCCCGTCATTTTGGAAGACAGATCCACTCCTATATGCTGCAGCGGATGAATTATCAAGTGATATTTCTGTCTCTAATTCTTTACTTAGTTTTTACGTAAAGTTGGCCAAATGGCCAGAGGCAGAATACCTTTTTTGGAAAATGGATGCAAGGGATTTGGTTTCTTGGAATACTATTATTGCCGGATATGCCTCTAATGGTGAATGGTTGAAAGCATTGCATATATTGTTGTAATTTGACATTTGCAGAGTTATTGCCAGATTCTGTAACTATTGTCAGCATCCTTCCTGTGTGTGCTCATTAAGAAACTTAGAGGTGGGAAACAAATTCATGCAATGTTTTTAGAAACCCTTTCCTCTTTGAGGGATACAGCAGTTGGAAATGCCTGTGTAAATTTCTATGCAAAATGCGGTGATATGGAGGCAGCATGATACATTCTTTATGATATCAAGGAAAGATATAATTTCATGGAATTCTATTCTTGATGCCTTGGAGAGTGGGGGTGTGGTTCTAACTTTTTAAGCTTGTTACGTTGGATGCATAGAGAAGAAATTAGGCCTGATTCTGTACGATATTGACTGTAATTAATTTTTGTGCTTCTCTTTTGCAAATAGAAAAGGTTAAAGAAATACATAGCTACTCAATTAAGACTGGCTTTCTGGGTGTGGTACTGCACCCACAATTGGGAATGCGATAATTGATGCATATTCCAAATGTGGTAACATGGAGTATGCACACAGAATGTTTCTGAATTTATCAGAGAGAAAAAATTTAGTCACATTCAATTCTCTGATTTCAGGTTATGTAGATTTAGGATCACATCATGATGCAAATATGATATTTAAGGCATGTCTGAGAAAGACATTACCACCTGGAATCTTATGGTCCGAGTATATGCTGAGAATGATTTTTCCTGAGCAAGCTCTTTGTCTGTTCTCTGAGTTACAAGATCAAGGGATGAGAACTGATGCAGTGACATTATGAGCTTCCTTCCTGCCTGGCACGCAAATGGCATCAGTTACACTTGCTGAGAACCAGTGTCATGGTTATATTATCAGATCTTGTTTTGATGACATTCGCTTGAATGGTGCCCTTTTAGATGCATATGCCAAATGTGGCAACATAGGCTGTGCAAATAAGCTTTTTCATTCAAGCAATGATAAGGATCTGGTTATGTTTACTGCAATGATTGGTGGGTATGCTATGCATGGTATGAGTGATGGAGCACTTGGGCTTTTTCTCATATGCTCAATCTGGGAATCAAGCCAGATCATGTTATCTTCACTTCTGTGTTGTCTGCTTTGTAGTCATGCTGGCCTGGTAGATGAAGGACTGAAGATATTTTATTCAATAGAGAAAATCCTTGGAATCAAACCAACTCTGGAGCAATATGCTTGTGTGGTGGACCTACTGGCTCGAGGTGGCCGTGTTCATGATGCATAGGCTCTTGTGGCTAGGCTGCAAGCAAAGCTAATGCAAATGTGTGGGGACACATTGCTTGGTGCCTGCAAAATCCATCATGAGGTGGAATTGGGATGTACTGTGGCAGATCAACTCTTCAAAATTTATTCTGATGATGTTGGAAATTATGTTGTCATGTCGAACATATATGCAGCAGATGCTAGATGGGATGGGTCATGGAGGTCCGAAGGATGATGAGGAACAAAAGATATGAAAAAGCCAGTGGGATGCAGCTGGATTGAAGTTGATAGGACAACTAATGTTTTTGCAGCTGGGGATTGTTCCCACCCCCAGAGAAGTATTATTTACACTACGCTATATACTTAGATCAACAAATTAAAGAACCAATTGAATTTTAGCTTAACGCAGCTGGGGATTGTCCTCTTCCACATCGACACCTTCTGCTACTTCTACTTATGCTGGGCAGTCTTGG